CCACGGGCCTGAGTATCAGGTGTTTGTAAGGGTCTACACTTGACTGTAACTAGCAAGGGGGAGTTCTTTTGCTCCACCCCTTGGCATTGTTATAAATAGACCCTTGGAATAACGTTCTGGGCCGGTGGATAAGGATCCAGGCCCACTCGGGTCTAGCCTGTGTTTCTCTCTGTTTCTCTCCCCTCTTCATTTCTATCTAAGTCTCTTAACCCTCATTCCTCAAGAGTCCCTGGGGTAAATAATGTTTTTCTTGCTAAGTAGTATTTTGTCAAACTGATATACAATAGTGTTCTTATCTGTTCATATACTGTAGATAGCTGGTATAAGATCCAGAAAAGGATAAAAGTGAAGAGCTCAAGGGTAGCCGAAGGAAAAAAGTTTTCCCAACCTACTCCTGCCCTCCTGGCTCTCATCCTTCATTGTCCCCCAAGGCAAGCCAAATAGAGAAGGAATTCCTCTTTCCTACAGCAGATTATAAAAACCAGAATGCCTTTTCCCCAAAGGCAGCCGTAAAACTTAAAAATATTACTTTAGCTTCATTCCATCTTTCTATGTAAGAATTGGCCATAAAGAAATGAAGACCTTCATTCCAGAGGTTTCATTTCCCATACTCCTGAGGAAGACATTCTACAGCTGAGGAGTCAAGGAGAAACTGAATACTCTGGCTGTGAGGGTTTCCTCTTCAGTTTATTGCCGTTGGATCACACCTTTTTGTCCAATCGTATTTCTACATGGCTGTCCATGCATCATTAGACACAGGCATAAAAATTAATAGTCCAGAGGCTAATGTTCTCATGCTTTAGGCATGTAATAAATTTCATGTGTTATTTATTCTATAAAAGAAGTGAAGAGTCTGCCCTGGGTCTGTGGGTCTTCTTTCTGAAGGCTTCTGCATCGTTTAAAATGGTGATCAATACATTTGCTATGTGTTTCTCTTAATCATCTTTTGTTAAATGAGTATTAGGAACCTCCCTTTATAATGGTCAGCAAAGGGGCTGCCTTTCCTTATAGCCATATATTGACTCCACAAACAATTCTCCAGGTTTCTGAGACCAATTGTGTTCAATAATCCAGTTGTGATACCTGAATACCTAGAGTTGGTATAAGCCCTGAAAGTCAACGATTCAGCATTGTAAGACTTACTTCATTTCTGGCATGAGTTACAAATGAGCTCCTCAGGTAAGTCCCACTTCCCCAGGGCCACCTAAAATTTTAGGGCTTCCCACCTGTGGTGGTTTGAAAGAAAATGGCCACCAAAGGGAGTGGCACGATTAGGAGGTGTGACTTTGTTAGAGTATGTGTGGCCTTGGTGGAGGAAGTGTGTCACTGTGGTGGTGGGCTTTGAGGTTTCCTATGTGTTTAAGCCACACCTAGTGTCTCAAACCACTTCCTGTGGCCTGTGGGTCAAGATGTAGAATTCTCAGCTCCTTCTTCAGCACCATGTCTGCCTTCACACCACCATACTTTCTACCATGACGATGATGGACTAAATCTTTGAACTGTAAGCAAGCTTCTCCAACTAAATGGTCTCCTTTGTAAGAGTTACCGTGGTCATGGTGTCTCTTCACAGTAATAGAAACCCTAAGACAACACAATTCCCTTATGATTCTGCAAGTTATTTTAAAAACACAGAATTCAGGAAAACACTTTACCAATCATTGCTATTTTATTATAAGGATACATCTGAGAGAAGAAACATATAGAGGAAAGTGATGTGGGACAAGCCACTCTCCCTGAATCTCAATGTAGTTACCAACTTAGAAGCTCTCTGATCTATGCTTTTGCTGGTTAGCTCTATATGTTGCGATAATGAAATACTTGATATAATCACATTATAAAAAGAAAATCTTACTTTGGCTCACAGTTTGGGGAATCAAGATCAAATGGACCACTGCTTTGATTCTTTGGTCATTTTGGTAGATGGTCATGGCAGGGAGAGTATTACAGAACAAACTGCTCACCACATGGCCAGGAAAGAAAGGAGCAAGAGACCAGAATCCAACTATCCCTTTCATGGGCATACTCCCAATGGCTTAAAAACCTCCCACTAGGCCCTGCTCCTAAAGGTTCCATCACCACTCAGTAGCACTACCCTAGAGAAGAAGTCTTTTATATATGGGTCTGCTGGTTAGGAATGCTCATGCCTGCATAGTGTGTAGACATAACTGATGAAACCATTGACTCTCGGTGACTCAATTGCAATTTCTAGTCTCTCGCTATACTTCAGAGGCATTGGTGGTGGGGTGAGATTTCTAATCTTTCAATCATGCTTATTGTCTGGTAAACAGTCCCACCCTGAAGATACTAGAGGCCACACCCTGAGTCCCTTCACTAACATGAACTCAGGTAAGGTCCAGAAAAACTGATTATAAATAAACAAAAGATAAGGCTATCATCAGAAATTCCAAGTATTTAGAAACTGTACTACATGCCAGGGACAATGATTAAATATGTACATATTTATATACTACTGGGTTATTCTCTCTTTGAGGATATTATAAATGAAAGTGCTGTAATTCATGTTCAAGGTCATGCATAAACATATGCTTTTATTTCCCTTTGGCAAATACCTAGGAGTGGAATGGCTGAATCATATGGTAGATATTTGTTTAATTTCTTAAGAAATTACCAAGTTCATTTTCAAAGTAGCTGCACAATTTTTCCATTCCCATCATCAGTGTATTGGAGTTCCTGTTGCTCTAAGTCTTGCTGTGGATAGTGTTTGAAACTTGAGATATTCTAACATATCTGTAGTGTTATCTTCATGGAATTTTGGCTTGCCTTCTTATAATGAGAATGATGAAGAACATCTTTTCATGTGCTTGTGTTAAATATATATATATATATCAGCATATAAGTATGAATCAGCATATCAGTTTATTCCATTAAAATATATATCCTTGTCACATCATGCTGACCACTGTCACTGTATAAGTTCACCTTTAAAAGCCAGTTTAGAAGAGAATAAAGTAATGCACAAGTCACCTTGACCTTGGATAGTGACAGTTTTCCACATTTGTCCTTCTTTCTTGGTGTTGCTTAAGCTGTTGTGAGTCTTTTGCATCTTTTGTATAATGAATTTAAGGATCTGCTTGTCAAATCCTATTCCACTGGGATTTTGATAGGCATTATGTTAAATCTGCAAATAAAAATGTTGAAGTATTACAATTTTAGCAGTATTTAATTTTCTCACACGTGAACATGGGATGCATTTTATATTTTATAGTTTCTACAGTACAAATTTCCAATTTAATTGTTGAATTTATTCCTAATTATTTTAGTTTTGTTTTTATTCAACTGTGCCAAAAATGGATTAAAATGTAGTTGGCTTTGTGATTTATCTTGTATCCTGTAAACTGGCTGAACCTATTCATTAATTTATAGTTTTCTGATTGTGAGATCATGGCATCTGTAAATACAGATACTTTCTTTACCTCTTCCTTTCTGGATGCTTTTCCTCTATGATTAAAAGCAAGACAAGAATATCTGCTCTCATGACTTCTGCATTGTACCAGAAGTGATCCAGCAGAGAGAGAAGTGAAATAAATGATATCCAGATGGAGAAGTCTCCCCCTTCAGTCACCTTCTATTGCCCCTTTGTGCACCATACACCCCACATCTTGACTATATTTTATTTAGCCAGGCCTACAATGCCTGCTTCTATAATTAAAAAAAATCAGACTTTTGTTTCTTGTCATTATCTCCTAAACAAGAGAGTGCACCAACAATTTATATAACATCAGCATTGCAAATAATGTAGAAACGATCTAATATGTACAGGAGGGTGTTGCAGAACAATTTTTGATGATTTGGGGAAAATACTGACAATGTTAAGAAGAGAATAAAATGAAAGAGTTTACATTAGAGTTGCCTTTTCAAATTAGCAAGAATAATAGAAAGCTCAATAATCATTGTTGGGATAAATTATATTTAATACACGCAAAAATTGGTTCTTCTACCACATGATGAAAAATTATTTAAAGAAGGACAAAAGTCTAAATGATAACTGCTCAAACACAATAGAAAGCAGTATAGCTAGCTGTCCCTTTGTACCCACAGGAGAATGGTCCTGAATTACCACCCCACACACCCAAATCCACAGACGCTTAAGTCCCTTACATAAAACAGCATGATGATTATATATGTTTGTAGCACTGTTTGATGCTTATTGTGAGATATAAGGGAGTGGAAACTTAGTCTGTGAGGTTTAGAAATATGAACTTTGGGAAGTAATGAGGACTAGAGGTAATCATGGGGGTGAAGCCCACACACTGAATACTGATGGATTTATAAGACTAGGGAGAAGAATAGCAGACCCTTACATACACTCACGATATCTGATTTTTACCATGTGATGATCTGAACTACTCCAGGATTCAGACAGCAAGAAGGCAATCACACCTTGTCCTTCAATCAGAACCTCATCTAAACAAACCCATTTTCTTTATCAAGTTAGCCCACTTCATGTATTTCACTGTAGTAATGAATAGACTGATGCAATTATGTTTTTAGGATTGCTGTAGCAGCTCTCAACAACACAGGCTCCAGAAAGCAAACGGGTACACTTCTCCCACAGCGTCAACAGACGCAGGAACCGAAACAGGTTTGTTCCTCTAGACTACACACACACACACACACACACACATACACAAACACACACACACATACACAGACACACACATACACACACACACACATACACACACAAACACACACACAAACACACACACAAACATACACAAACACATACACATACACAAACACACACACATACACAAACACACACACACACACACACACACACACGTTTGTCGATTAGGAGGAGTGTGAGGAATGGAAATGAATGAGGCAGGGATGAAGGAGGCTACAGCTGAAGCAGTTGGCATGCCAACAAAGGATGGAGGACATTATTGAGAAAACGGAGGGGAGCTGGAGAGCCCCCAAGCACAGAGGCTGGGGAAACGAAGGGACAAACTCAGAAAGGAATGTTATTTAAAATGTGTGCCCATCTGAGGAGCAGCACAAAGGGCTAACCAAGAGCGGGGAGCCTGGGAGCGGGAGTCGAGAGGGGCTCTTTCAGAACGGGAGCAAATGGTATTAGGACTTCAATGGCAACAACCCATGTGCCAAATCGGTTTGTCCTTCACATGAAATCGCCGGTGTTCCAGAATTACACGACAAAGAACCTGCACTTTCCAGGAGGTAGGAAGAAGGCATGGAGAGGCATCAAACAAACAAGGCTGGAAGCGGGGACAGGGGGCCGCCCTGGTGAGAGATGCACACCCCCATGAAGTGATAGGGGGCAGGGAAGGGCCTGAGCTGCCAAGCTCCCTGTCTGGGAGATCTGTTTACGTTTTTCATGCCCAGACTTTGAGAGGTCCTTTTGGCAATGCTTCCTGGGGGCCGAGACCTCACTCTCGGTGTCCCACTGTGCTCAGGCAGACAGTTCAGTCTAATGGTCTGTGGACTGAGGAGTTGTGAACTCTCTGGATTCTCTTTAAATCCAGGTTCCTTTAGTGTCTGTATTTGCTGGGGAATGCTTACAATAACTGAGTTCAGGAATCAGGTGGTGGTGATGCATGCCTTTGATCCCAGCACTTGGGAGGCAGAGGCAAGCAGATCTCTGTTAGTTCGAGGCCAGCCTGGTCTACAAAGAGAAACTCTGTCTTGAAAAATAATAAATAAATAAAAAATAACTTAGCTCAAGAAGAATAAACTCAACTCTTTCAGGAAGTAATACTGTAAAAATCAGGATAATGACAATTTATAGGAATCATCCTTAGAAAAATGTAATAATTGCTCAGAAGAAATGCAATAGTTTTAAAGTTATTTGAGGCAGTTGTTTGCATACACCCTCATGCATAAGAACTTAGGGGTCATTATGGTGATATTTTATTTGTACTAAAATGTTATTTGTATGTTAATAAATAAAGTTCCTCGGGGGGTCAGAGCTATTAGCAAGCCATAGGAAAGCCAGGTGCTGGTGGCGCACGCCTTTAATCCCAGCACTTGGTAGGCAGAGCTAGGTAAGTCTCTGTGTGTTCAGGGATACAGCCAGCATTGGATACACACGCCTTTAACCTCAGTACCAACCATAGAAGACCTGGAGGTCTGTACAGACAGGCAGTGATGAGGCGATCATGTGGTTGAGTTTACAACCAATGAGAAGGCAGAACAGAAAGTCTATATAAAGACTTTAACACAGGAAGTAGCTCTCTTTCGGAGAGGTAGGACCACTGCAGGAGGAAGGGTAAGGTTTTAGCTCTTAGCTCTGACCTCTTGGTTTTCTTCTTCGCATTGGTTCTGTGTTTCTTATTTAATAAGACAGTTGGTTACATCTACAGGTCATCCCGTAAAAGGAGATGGTGAGATGTTACACCCTGTATATAGCTCTCTTCCCATACCCTAACTCACCAGGCATTGTCGTACACAGCTATAATTCCAGCACCTAGGAAGCTGAGGCAGGAGGATCCTGACTTTGAGAATCAGCTAGGCTATATCATGAGACCCTATATCACAAGACAAAATAAAAGAAAATGTTCGGTGAGAGTCCAACTTTTTCCCCTAAAAACTGAATCAGAAATCAATTGAGGAGGGAGAGGACAATCCTCTAATGATACCTAAAGTCCCACAGCAATGCATACCTGAGCAGGTGGGGCCTCGCACTAAACCAATCAATCACCCAGCCAATCAAATCCAACCAGAGGGAAATTATAAAGATCTTGTTTTATGCTGGGTACACAGGAAGGCAGATAAAACCCTTGAGTATGGATTGGCTTTCCAATCTAACCCTGACACCAAATTGAAGCCAAAAAGGAGTTTACAACACATATTCATGACTGTGATTAAAACAGAGAACACAGACCAGGGAGGTCGAGTCAAAAGTTAGGAGACCCTGTGAAGGCTGGAGGCTTGCTGGTAGAAAGGTGTGACCGAGCCAGGCAGGAAGGTGGACAAGACAACATTAAGGAACAGGCAGAGACAAAAAAAAAAAAAAAAAAAAAAAAAAAAAAAAACCCAGACACCAGGACACAGGGCATGCTGGTTCTCCTGGCATGGGACTGGGAAATCCCTTGACCTGATGTCAAGAGAAGAGAAAGGAACTTTGGGCAGCAGTGGTCTCCCTAACCCATGGCAGGAGGAACCCTCATCTCAGGGAAAGTGGCCTCATGCAAGACGGTGTGGGTTTTCTAAGCAGGACTGAACAGGAGAGCCTTTCTGTGATTCATGACTCTGAATGACCCCAGACAGCAAGCCACCTCAGATCCCAAATGTCGCTTCAGTGCACAGAGACGTGTTTCTTCATCAAAATGGTATGTTACCTCCATGCAAAAGTCAGGAGAAATAATTTATCGCCTGAGAAGAATTTCTCACACGGACCTCTGGCTTCTCCATAAATAATCCCTGAGTGCTTGCAGGCCTGGCTCCTGGGACTCCTGTCCTTACTAGAGCCTCTTCCTGTTGGTACTCAGCTTCTGCCTCAATGAGGAAATTGCCTATTCCAGTCTCACACAGGGAATTAAGGTCAGAACAATACAGTATTTTACAATCCAGTACAAGCTGCATTTATCCAGGGCTTTTCATGCGTGGCATCTTAAAGCTCCTTATGACCCTGTTTTTTTTTTTTTCCTAAAAAAAAAAAAAAAAAAAAAAAAAAAAAAAAAAAAAAAAGGAAAAGAATTTAAAAGGGGAAACCTTCTAAAAACTCAAACCCCCACTGAACTAAATGAGCCATTGAGAGTGAATAGGACTTAACAGTGGCCTTCAGAATGGGAACAGAGGCCCCACTCCAATGGAACAAGAACAACAGAATCAAAGGAAATCACAGTGTAGAGAGGGCTACACGGGGCCTGAAATGTACCCCTGGCCCTATGGGTTCTCAAGTCTGCCATGGGCACACTGACCTTCGGATGAGAGTCAGGAATCAGAGTTCGGACTCCTCTTCCTCCATGATTCCGGGAGGGCAAGCAGGACCAAAAGGCCACCTTGTGGCCCTGAAGGTGCAGCTCCCAGCCTCACTAATGGCTCCCTCAGAGGTCAGAGGCATCAACTCTTCTGGAGCTGGAGTTACAGGTGGTTATGAGGCCTCTGACATACATGGGAATTGAACTAGGATCCTCTGCATTATGTGTCCTTAACTGCCAAACTATCCCTCCAGGCTTCAAATTACTGTTTTTCTTAAAGACAAGTTTATAAATTTTGGCTTTTGTGCAAGTCCGACCTCTTCCTCTTAGAGATTTTAGGAGAAGAATGAATAGTGCTTGCAGGACATCATGGATACTGCTTGGCACACGCATGCTGGGTGCTCCTGGCATGGGACTGGGAAATCCCAGAAATAGTTCTGCTTCTAAAGCTATAGCATGGCTCTGGAGTTAACCTGAGGGTTTTCTGCCCGCCTCCTGTTCCATTCTTGAATCCTCTACTCCCATCCTGAGATTGTTCCATGTTCTATAACAGTTTGAACTAATAACTTCTGAAGACCATATTCTTCTCCTGGGCCCCTGAGAATGGCAGTTAGGGCAGTAGCATGGGAGGATCTGGGACATATGTGTTAGTTATTATATGGCACAATGTTATTCATTAAGCTGTACTGTTTACCATGCCAGAAAAGTCACGGAGTACGACAAAACCCACTATAAGAGTTTATTAAGAGGAAAGACTCCAAAGCTACACAGAGAAACCCTGTCTCAAAAAAAAAAAAAAAAAAAAAAAAGAGAGGGGGGTGCTTACTTAGGCCTATGGAAATGGTTGTGAAGGGAGAGAGAGGAAGAGGAGGAGGGGAGAGGAGTCTGTGACCTGCTTTTTATGGATCCCCCACACATGTGCACATGGACTTAAGTAGCTACGCCACGCATGTGCATTGATTACGTGATCACACTGCATGCAGATTACATGACCATGCAAAACACGGATTACATAGGACTTAAGGCCGCGGGCTGACTAAGCCTCTTGCTTGGCTACTAGACAGCACATGTGCAGTCATGTAGCTGGGGGAGTGGCCAGGAATTCCAACAATATGAGTTGGGAGGCTTCATCACATCCTGATGATAGGCAGCTGTGTGGCTTGGATGGCGAATTTATACCTCTGCTCCTTGGTTCCACCCTCTGTAAATTAAGTGTATTCAATGAAGTGGTACCTAAGTTCCTCACAGTTCCAACATACATGCTTTTTTTTAATTACATTTTTTCATAAAATATATTTGAGTACATTTCCCCTCCCCTAACTCCTCCCAAATTTTCCTCACTTTCCTACTCACTGAACTTTATTTTTTCTTTTCTCTCTTTCAAAAATACAACAAAAAAAACCCCACAAAACACACACACACCAATCAAAACAAGCAAATAAATAAATAAAAGTCCAAAAATGTCCAGATAAAACAAGAAGTCCACAAAACAAAACATGGAGCTCATTTTGCTCTGGTCAGTTACTCCTGGGCATACAGACTCCCTGGAATGGGACTGATATAGAAAGTGACACTCCATTGGGGTCATTTATCTATGACAGCAGATACCAATTGTGAATAGCTTCTTGGTTATGGGTGGGAGCCCTTGTCTGTTTCCCCCACGCAGAGCTAGGACACCATCTGTACAGCCTTGTGCATGCTGTCACAGTCTCTGTGAGTCTGTTGTGTCTGGAAGACACTGTTTCCTTAGAGTCACCCATCACCTCTGGCTCTTATAATCTTTCTGCCTCCTTTTCCACATAGATCCCTGAGCCTTGAGGGGAGGGCTTTGATGAAGACATCCCATTTAGGACAGAGACTCTTAACTCTCTGCATATTGTCCATTAGTCTCTGAGTTAATTCCCATCTACTATAAGAAGCTTTTCTGATGAGGATGGAGCAAGGCACTGATCTATGGGTATGGTACACATCATTACAAGTCATTTTGCTATGTGTTCCTTTAGCACAATAGTATTAGGTCCCCGCCCCCCCAGGCCTATGACTCATCTAGTCTTAGGTTCCTGGTCACTTTAGCGGTGTCAGGTATGGATTCCATCTCATGGAGTGTGCTTTAAACCAATCAAAACATGGTTGGTTACTCCCATAACATCTGTGCCACTATTATACCAGTACATCTTGCAGGCAGGTTGCTGCCTCAGGTCACAGGGTTTGTAACTGGGTGACATTGATGATAACTTTTCCTTTGGTTGCATGCAGAGTATCTTCCAGAACCGGGAACACTAGTCAGTTGGGGTGAAG